ACTTGTCGATGGACTTTTGTCACTCTCCTGTTGTGAATTTCTCGACACAAAAGTTCTACAGTCACAAATTGTGATTTGACTCTGGCAAGTCCCTGCCAAACGTCCTTGTAGATGTTCTCTGCAATTCGAGTGGTAATGTTTGAAGATTATTTTTCATATCGAGTTTAAATACTTTTCTACGGATGGTCCAACGTTTGAATCCTAACCTGGTTGCTACTTTCTTCCACGGCATGGTTGGTCCCACCTCAAGGATGAGGTTTCACCAAAGGGAGGTTGTGACAATCTAGAGACCATCGATCATGCTCCAGGTAAACGCAATCTTTCTTCTCCCACCCGTGAAGTGACACACCACAAGTGCAGCATTTGACTTTATCCTCTTCACCCAAGTAGAAAAATCAATCTCTAATTTTTCGGGAGTAGGTCCTCCCAAATATTTTGGCCATTTGCCTCGAAAGTTATAGATACGACTTTCCGTCACAGTATTCTGGCAAATGCACAGGAAATTAATATTCACTTTGTACAAGTTCAATTCGATAATAAAGGTAAGGTGAAATATGCAGAAGTTTGCTCAGTTTTACATGACATCCGTATGGTGGTAGTCATGTGGTTTCTTGTGGAGGATGACACCGACAATGAAAACCAGTAAATTGCCTCGAGTTAAGAACATACACCTGTATCACACATTCACGTACGACTGTCATTATATGAAATATCAATTCAGTCTATAAAGTACAAAAGTAATGGGGGCCACGAGTGGACGATTGGTCTAAAGCGCTGACCGTTACCGATGACTGCCATCTCACCTCTGTTTGCGTGAGTTCGAGTCCTGACTCGGCTAACGTGGATAAGTGAGAAAGCCTGCCAGTAGCTTCTCGTGGGTCGGTGGTTCTTCCCTGGGTTTTCCAAGGTTCTTCCTCCACCATTAATACTGGCCGCCATGTATAGCCTATTGTGTGCTGAAAATGGCGTTAAACCCTACAACAACTACTACAACAACAAAAGCATTGACAATGTTTCTCAATAGATATCTACAATGTGTCAGTCTTGATCCACAACGGTAAAATGAATATATCCACCGATTAATACATGAAAATACACAGACAACGCCTGAGTAATCGATATCAAGTCACACAGTTATTTAGTTCGTGAAAACTCAGACAGTATATAGCACTGAGCATCTACGCCTCTCGTCTCCGCTTTCCTAACTGCCACTGTCGTCATAATAGGTTAAATTGATTTTAATCATCGAGGTAATCCTGATAATGTTTGGCGCGATATGATATCCCATGCGTAAAAATATTATGTCACATGAAATGTCATCAATGTGGGCTTCGTTTGCAAGCATAAAAATATAGTCTTTGGCCGTTAACAGTGCGAGTCGTCTTTGGATTTCTTCATTAATTATTTCCATGTCGTGCGCTCTCAAAGGAATTTCAATATTGTTCCAGGTGGCACCACTGTCGGCTGAAAACCCAAACTGGTTATCTGCATCAAGACTACAACACGGTTGTGATCGAATATTAAGGCAACTTTAAGAAAGTCCTAACGACGCCAATGATATATCAGTTGTTCGCGATTCCCCAGCAGGTTAAGAGAAAGACGCATTTAATTCTGGTTTCATTTATTTGATAATCGATGTGATGCCATGGATTGTATGTACAACAACACGTTGTTTTGCAGCATATATATCGTGTAAAATCGTCTAAAAACGCGTCATCGGTGTATTGTTTTAAAATTAAAGTGTGCATTATACATAACGAAACTAAAAATAGTAATAGTTGTAATAGTTATATATATATATATAACTATTATATATATATAATGTACATTAACCGTATTGTGTGTAAGACATATGTGAATGCTGAATACCAAGAAGAAAGCATATTATATTAAAGTGTACATGCAACGTTCACTACCTAGATTAGTATAATCATTTCAATTAAAAAAGTCGCAAAACTAGTTTTAACTAAACGTTAGTAGCTATAGTGCCGTTTTAAGGCATAGGCACGTGCCTAGGGCCCCGCGCATCTGGGAGCCCCACGATGGACCAAAACAAAATTTTCGGTGTCGATTGTGTTAGCGGTTTAGTACTATATTATTAAATTAAACTTAATTAATTAAATTTAACTAAATGACATACATGCACATAGAAATGCAATACAATACTCTGAGAGTGAGAGATTGAGGCACAAGGTTAGTGTTTGTGCCTTAAGGCTCCGATACTTCTAAAATCGGCTCTGAGTATCTCTCTAGTATGTGAATACACATATTTTTAACCTCGATGCATTCTTGATACAAAAAGAAATATTGACAAAATATCGTAATGATCATAATAAAGATACAAGTATAATACTACATATTTTATAAAATTTGAGTATTAATGAAGTGCTAATGGCGGTTGTAAGTCTTGCACAAATTTTCCGTATTTTTATGCCTGATTGAGCAAGGATATTGGTATTACACCCTGTATTAGTCTAGATTATTTTTTATCTTTTCGCTCCTTCAAATTATATCCGTAGATTGCAATGTCTTGACTCTTGTATTTCAAGCTTAATTCTTATTATATTTAGAGGGTGGAATGATGCCTTTTTAGATGGTTAGGTCTAAAATAAAAATGCCTTTATCTGCTGTAACGGCATCACCTTCATCTCGTAGGCACAACATGCCACACAAGGTAGTAATTTGCTTGTCCAAATATTTTACACCAATTCTTTCAAATTTTTCGTATTTCTGGGACTGATGCGAACCTGTATCCAGCTATCCACTTACTGTGACTGGAACAATTTATTTTGGCAATTTAGTAGTCAAACAGATCAACTCGTGTGCTATATGTCATGAAATCAATATTTGGTGTCACATGTTCCTCAAAGCATAAAAGTGTTGCCCTAAGGGCAGATAAATCACGTTTTGCACATTCTCTCTCTCTCTCTCTCTCTCTCTCTCTCTCTCTCTCTCTCTCTCTCTCTCTCTCTCTCTCTCTCTCTCTCTCTCTCTCTCTCTCTCTCGATGTGTGTGTGTGTGTGTGTGTGTGTGTGTGTGTGTGTGTGTGTGTGTGTGTGTGTGTGATTTTGAATGATCAGCTGGCGACCATATTCATTAAAATGTTTTGGGTTTTTTGTGTTTGACCGGTATGTGGGTGATTGTGATGCTAGAATCTTTTGAAGTAATTCTTTTATGATTTTCTCTTATTTCATCTTTTTAATTTGTCCGACGTCTTCTTTGGTTTTCTGAGTTACCTTTGGCAAGTATAAAATAACCTCAGCAATTGCTCTTGTTTCTTCATTTCCTTGTCTATTTTACTATTTTTACCCGACTCTTCTTTTGTTCCAGTTAGTGCTGCCACTTGTTCCAATGTTGTTATTGTGCCTTTGTTATTATCCTCTTCACGGTCTGAAATTTTCTTCATTGGTGTAATTAGCGGTGCCAATGTTTGTTCAAAGCTCGCTATGAGATTTTCTCGTTAAGATTGTCTTGACCGTAACATATCGTGGATACTTTTGCGGCTTCCTATTGCATTGCAAATAAGTTCTTTGTGTTCACTGTATTGCCTTTCGTACTCTTCTGTTACATCACTACCGGAAGGCGGAGCTGTCTCATTTGACATTTTATATGTTCATCGTGATTGATAAATTGGTGTATGAAATCACTAAAAAGAAAACTATACGGGTCCTTAGTGATTTGAGCAAACGGATCACAACATTCATCCCATGGGTAATCAGCGGCATACCAAGTCCATTGAATATTTGTAAGACTATGAGCAACGAAATATCATCATGTTAAATTTGTCACGGATTACTTTCGGCACGTTGCATATCATTGCATCAGTCAGATCACGTCAGTGTGTTTATGTCTGCCTATATATTTTGATTAATTTTATGTTCAATCATCATTAAAACTTCGTGCATGTCAAGAATAATTTCACTTGAATCAAGGTCATCAATGGTAGGAGTTTCATCACTTGTGGGAAAGAAGTCATTTATGGATGACGTGTTACTGGGCGATTTGTTTTATGTGTATATCATAATACAGTTGATCGACAGATGATGACGCAATTCCGCACAACAGATCCCATCGTAACCATCTCAAAATCATATTCAGCTGCAGTTTTCCTGATCCAGCTGGACAAAAGATCAATTTTGTTTGAAAGTATGAAACTGGTCCCATCAGACCTATGCTTGAGTCGTCTAGGTGCTGCTTGTTCAGAAATATCAATGACTTTGATTATCAGTTTTGGTGATGACATTGAATTTGTATAAATAAATCATGTCTTAATATAGCTTTCGATTTCGCAAGAAATCTGCTACTGCATTTTCATCTAGAGTTCAAAGACCTAATAGTCAAAATGCTATTACAAATTACCTGGAACATCATGGATCAAACACCCTGGTGACAAAACATATACCTGGATATAATTAATGTGGGCCTGGTACACCGCTTGATATATGATTTGATTATAACAATCAATCCAAGCATGGTGAAACATCCATTAATCGTGTTGATGCTGCATGCTACAGACCTTGTTTATTAAATATCAAACGATATCCGTTTATGTCAACGTGTTGATCTCGATCTTATTGATGACCTAAATGATATTAATCCAACAAATTGCAAGATGGATCACCAAAGGAAGCCAAGATTGTTCTTAGTGGCATATAGGTCCTCTCATTAAAGGTCAAATATATTGTTACAAAACATATAATTTCTAAGAGGATTTTATCCAAATTATATTAATATTACACTTTTTGGAAAGGTGAAGGTGTGAGTGTGTGATTTGGATTTTTAGGGTAGCTTTAACAAATTTTCAGTCATATCGCAATGACGTCTGCAGTATGGCAGTTTATAGTGATGTCTAGCACTGGGGAATCATGCCGCAGATATGTAGCATGATGTCCCACCCAGTCACATTATCCTGACACCAGGCCGACCAGTCCTAACACTAACCTCTTGATGCTGAGCGCCAAGCGAGGCAGCTGTTAGTACCATTTTGTAAGTCTTTGGTATGACTCGACCGGGGATCGAACCAACCACCTCCCACGTTCGAGGCGGACGCTCTAACCACTAGGCCACCGGAGCGGTGAAAGGTGAAGGAGCCGTTGATGAATTTGCACGCCCGACAAAAGTCGCCTATGGTGCTGCTTGGTTGGCCAAACATGCATATTGGCAAATTAACGAACCTATGCCAAGAAAACTTCGCGTGGATGGCTTTATGTCCAAATATCTAATCAGGCTGATATCATATTGTTACCACGTGATAGTGTACGTGATCGAAAAGGTCGTCTGAACACATAAGCATTGCCAATGTTGCGAGAAGACACAAAGACCCAGATCCAATAACATCTAATGACTTATCATGACTTAAATGAATTTGTGCACGCGGACCGTTTAACAAGACTAGGATTATTACAAGTCAATTCTGGCAAAAGATTTGGTGCTAGCAAAATATAAATTAGGTGTCTAAAGAGTGTTCTCATCTACGGACCAGAAGTGAGACGAAGTTTGAGAAAAAGAAGACGATCAGTGAGATGCCCTGTATGTTTACGAATGGTGTTAACATCATAAACAAAGGTCCTTTTCAGGGCCATTTTTAATGCATCGAAAAGATATTACTTTTCAACAAAAAATTGCCATATCTCTATCTCTGTGTTCTATGTCTCTATGTGTCTGTATTGTATATATTTGTATATGTCTATGCCCCTCCCTAGAGTCGTAGTGCTAGCCGCGTGTTTTTAGGTTAACTAGGTCAGCTCCTTGTTACAATGTTGACAAGAGTCCAGTACGTGACGTTAAGCCACCTGTGCCATTCCTCTTGTCGCTATACAGGCCTAGGGTGTGCTAATACAAAATTCCCATTGTCGCTATAACAGCCCAGGGTGTGCTATTAGTCGCTATAAATCCTGTCGCTATAGCAGCCCATGGGTGTTTTTAATGATAACTCACATTGCCGCTATTGCACCCCCTATTACTACTAACGTATATCCCCCCATATATATATATATATATATATATATATATATATATATATATATATATATATATATATATATATATTTCAAAAAAAGCTTTACAATTGACTATAAATGTATTGTTTTATAGAAATCATTACATATGGATCAAAAACTCTAATGCACTAGTTGGTAGACAGTACAATAAACGGAACAATGAAACGTTTTTCTGTTTTGCACGGTTGTACAGACAATGAAACATTACAAAAGCATTTGCAGTACTGTAGTGATATACAACGAATAAGAATAACGATGCCATCTAAAAAAAAGATAGTGTGTTACAGTTTGTCCATCATAATCAGAAACTAAAAATTTATTTCGTTATATACGCTGATTACGATTGCTTACTTCAACCTGTACTTGGCAAATAAAATAATTCTAGCCAATCGAGCACAGGGATAACTCAGAATCAAGGTCCGTGCGCAATAGCGAACAAGATAGTCTGTTGTGATGATTCAAGATTATCTAAATCAATCCAACACTATTGCAGTAAAAATCCAGCTGTGTGGCTTCTCATGCAATTGATCAGCGAAGTTGATAATATATTTTATCGCTTGAAAAGAGTAACTCCAATGATTAAACTGACACCAAAACAAGAATGCGATCACGAGCAAGCGAAATTTTGCCATATTTTTGAAAAAGCGTTTGACGATAGCAAAAGAGTACGTGATCATAGTCATTTGAAAGGACAGTACAATGGAGCGGCTTATGATCAGTGCAATTTGAAATTTCATGCTCCAGATTTTATTCCGGTTGTTCTTCACAACTTTCGGGGATATGATAGCCACATTATCGTAGAAGCTTTTGGTGATCCGACGTAAAATCTCGTTTAAAACTTGATAACGTCATCAAATGCATTCCAAATCATTTTGAAAAGTATGTCAGTTACTTTAGGTAAGTTGGAAAATGGACATTTTACGTCGTTGCTGTGGAAAATTTCGAGAATTGTTAATGGAGCACGGAGACATCAATCCTTTGAAAGAAGCCTGCACCATCGCTAAAGCGTGTTCCTTAGAGTACCGTTAGCGATTCATATCCGAAAACACTCTGGCTGTCATAAGCCCTCAAACGACCAATTTTGTCAAACATCAATACTCGGTTAAATCCCTACGCTGTTTACATTATTTGTGCGACAAGAAAAACAAAAGGATTCAACATGCCCGAAACGGTGGAGGAGAGAAAGCCATTGGAAGTTATTCATTAAATCGCTGCGACTTAGAAAACCCCAAGATTGTGTACGAGTTGAACGGGTGCTTGTTTCACGGATGTCCTTTCTTTTATCCTCAACGCAGAACTTAAAACCAGTTTTTACAACGCACCATGGAAGAGTTGTACCCGGCCACTTGTCAACGTCGCTTGAAGTTAAAAGAGCAGGGATACCAAGTGATAGAAATGTGGGAACATGAGTACGATCAGCGATTGAAAACCGATCCCGAGTTTAAGCGCAACGTGGAAAGTTACAAGCTAGTAGAGTCTTTGAACCCACGGAACAGTTTGTACGGAGGACGGACGAATGCCACCTTTTTGCTGTACCAAGCCGACGAGGGGAAAGGAGAAGAAATCAAATACTTGGACGTATGTTCTCTGTATCTGTACGTGTGCAAATATTATCGCTTTTCCGCAAGGCTGTTTCCAATGGGTTATTTTTTCTACGCTATTTCCAGCAGAAGAAAACTGGAGAAGTATTTTTGTCACGTGTCAAGATTAAATTTTAAAGATATTGACTTTCCAGTTGCTGAAAATCAAGTGCTAAAGTTTAAAAAGCAAAACAATGTTTCAATAAACGTTTTCGGACTTGATGAAAGAGAAAACGTCAGTAGTAATAGGGGGTGCTAGCTACAATGTGAGTTATCATTAAAAACACCCATGTGCTGCTTTAGCGAAGTAAGTCCTCATGAACGCGTCCACTTGTTTCATGTATTTGGTTTTGTCGAGAATCATTTGTAAGAAGCGGGAGGGTTCTGACTAATACTCCGTTTTGGGTAAACACGGACGTTGTGCCATTTTTCCCCATAAACAATTTTAACATCACTTTTGCAAACGATCACCTTTCTTCGTTTTTATCAATGTGGTCTAAAGTGATGCCTTCTTGCTCCCAATATTTCTCTTTGAATTTCTTTTGGCCTTCGGGATTGGCTAGTCGATATACAAACTACATCGTAATACATCATATTTTACTGTGTAAAATAAAATTACCTTGATCATTTCAAACTTCCAACTCGAACCCAATTGGGTAATTCCTCTATCTTTTTCCAAATTTCTTGGTGTATTTGATCAGCTAGTGACAAAATGTCAGTCCCAATCGAAACACGTCTTGACTTTGCATTAATGTAAGGATCTGCAATTTCCTTGTCAGTCGATTCTTCCGTCTCAAGTAGCTTCGAAAATATAATATGATATTACACTATTAGTCTTATAGCCTTATGTTTTTCAACCTCACGTTTAACATTTGTCTGTAGCAAGTGGTAAAGATTTGTTGCAGTAAAATTTATCAGTACGATTTGTTTATCAAACCGATAACTTTTATCAAAACCTGTGAAAGCAGTCGCTATTTTTTCAGGTTATCCGATGAGGTTCTTCTTGGCTATATCATGCAATTTCAACATCGGATATAATAGTGTAATATTGTACATCTAATTGATTGTTCGATAGATAACTTACCGCGCTCCAACTGAACAACCAATTAGAGTTATAAAATCCTTATAGTATAATGACAAGCGCATACGAGCAAGAGTATTAATATGTTCACCCAAAATATAACCAATACGCTGGAAATGCATTAGGTTCGGTGATACATGTTCAGTACAAATATCCGATAGGTGAAGCAACGTCAGCGGGTTATAAGATTAGCGTAAAGGGAGATCATACCGAGAAGATTGGAATACTTAGAAAAGATTTTATTTACACATTATTCTGCGAGGTTTTTAGAGAGGGGACAGCGTGTATATCATGTTAACGGTGCAGTCATTGATGATAATATCGCAAACTTTCAGCCACACCCAGTCTTTGACTTATACAAGGCAAACGATCGCGGTATTATTAGAAACAGAAAAACTAATAAGGTTCTTGGTACTATGAGCAATATGGAATATCTCGTAGTAGGTGTTCGAGGAACACTAACAGATCAAGTTTGTTATCGTAGTCATCGTTTTTTTACGAGATGTTTAACGGACCTATACCGGATGGTCTGGTTATTAATCACATCAATAACGTAAAGACTGACAATCAACTGTGGAATTTGGAGCTAGTTACACAGCAGGAAAATATGAGAAAACGACTAGGTGGTGGCATTAATTTTAGATGTCTGGCTAAACCTGTTGTTTTGTTTTACCTCGAAGCGGACGATGACATCAAATTTAAATCGATTTTAGCCGCTGCTCGGTACTATAAGATAAATCCTAGTGCAGTAAAGTTTATTGCTGATGGGATAACAAGATCAGCTTTTTCAAGCGAATACGATGCCAGGATTATTTTTAAATATATTTGACAGTTTCTTTTTTAGTCAAGCAATGATGAGCTAATTCCCTAATATCATCGCGGTCAAATTTTAGCGTCATTATTGCACTTTCTTTGTTTTACTTTTTTCTGCAGCTGTTAATAATATTTTATGAAAATCACCTTGCGTAACAATAACGTCAACAGAATATGCACTATAATCTGACAGACATTTTAGAACTGCTTCGGATAGTTCGTTGTAATTTAATATGTTAACTTTTTGGTGATATTTTACCTCGTCAGTCATCTTATAACAACAAATTAGATAAATATATATTATAACACAAATTTGATGAAACGACTCGCTGAAATACACGCAGAAGATATCACTGCAAGCGATACAATTATCAACAACAAAATCACGGATGTTATTACACTCGCTCACAATATGATAGACAAATTTGATGGTTATAGCGAACATGATATTTTGTACAACAAAGAATCTGACAATGATGATAAATTGGTCACCGTTGCGAACAGGTCAAATTACAGCAAAACTACCACTTGAAAATATAATGTCAAGTATCACATTGTTAAAAAGAAATAACAAAATTTAATGTTAAAGTCGCCGAACAA